TGTACTTTGTATTAGTTCTTGCTCAAACTTTTGAAACATTGTCCTTGTGTACAAGGTAGCCATTTGTTTGTTCATTGGCATCGGTAGAATACATTGAGCCACTTCAAATGCATCTACGTGATCAGCAACTAACTCTTTTTGACGTTGATGAGAAAGTGCCCTCTCAAATCTTAGTATAAAATCCATCAACGAATTTCTCCTTGATATGTATTGCTTGAAGAAACCATAAGAACATTCCGCTCTTTGGCTGCTTGACATTCCAGCAGCAAAAAAGTGTCGTGCGTAGGCTGGAACCTAAGATTCCCTTAAATCAAACATTGAACTTAGCCATGGATGGTCAGTCAAACCAGCCTTTGTAACCACAATATTCCATTTTGCATCAAACTCATCCTTATTGTCAGTATCCCATATGGCTTTCTGGAATTCACCCCAATACTCCTTATAAGCAGAATGTGGTAACTTAACAGAGAACTTTGATGTGATGTGCCATATGCAAAGTCGATGAAATGTAGTCGGGAAGGCTATTGAAATCGCTCTGCTCATTGCCGCATCTTGATCTGTGATGATCGTTTTAGGTTCGCCACCTGGCATGGCTTTCTTAAACTCCTCAAACATCCAAATAAACGACTCAGTCGTTTCCTTGCTCAAAAATGCGCATGCTAGGACAATTGTTTGACCATGGTTATTAACTCCCAACATTGGTGCAAATGTCAAGTCGTATCTATTCGTGTTGAATGTGGTATCGAATACAACAACATCTCCATAAAACCCGTACGCCCGTCTAGAAGTTGCATCTGCCCAAAAACATCGACTAAACCTGTTATCGCCATCTCCCTCAATCTTGAAATAAAAAGCCTCATTTTTTTTCTGTTCAGCCATAAAATACTCGGTCACTAGTTCAACATCGTGGTTCCTCAGCTTCCCATTCACACTACATTCAAGATTGTAGATATCCTTTTTGATAAAACCGATTTTATCCATTCCTCCGGATTGCACCTCGAAAATACTTACCTTCTGATTAATGGGAATATTAACCGAACCCAACTGTTTTGTAAGTACTTTTGTAGAATCTGAAATACGACGGTGTGATCTCAGTAAATGCATTCTTCCTGAGGGTGTCATCTTATGATTGTGTCCCTCTGCAAAAAGAGAGATGGTATACTTCTTGCTCCCATGTGTCTTCACAACCACAATCTTAGCTTTGCAATTGCATCTACTTATTCCCCGCTGTCTTTTTCTCTCCCGAGTTTCATCATTCCGGTATACACCTTGTTTGCAACATACAAATTCTTTTCTCAGAATCTCTTTCTTATTTTTCCCCCAAAAGCTGGAATGAAGTCGAATACCAAAGCCAGCCAAGAATGCATATCTATTATAGAAATTATAAACGAGGTCAAGCGAGTCGAACTTCATCCCAACTGCTGGTGTTTCCTCATTTCTTACTTCAGGAATGTAAACCCTCCCATTAGCTGTTACAGAGTCATCACTCTCAGAGCCCCCAGACATTTTATTCACGTATATTATTGATCTACTTCTATATTACTGCATAGCAAATGTTAATTCATTAATCAATCATTACTGCATCACAACTTATCAATGCATTCCACGTACACAAAACATTGCCCAAATTGACACAATACACGCATAGCCTAGCTTGTTGGATTCTGATTACACAAAACACAAGCAAAATTTAATAATAGTTACGTCATCTCTTGTGAAATAATCTGGAAAAAATAACATTAGAACCAACATGTTCAACTAAGAACTCAAATGTAATTCAAACCAGCAATTACAGAACTTCACCCAATATCCTCTCCAAATGCTTACTTCTAATGCCATTAAGCCTAAGTTTAGGATCTTTTACCTACATTTCATAAATTTCCAATCCCCCTCCAAACAAAAATAATCAACTAAGTATATTGAATATTCATAAGGAAATGACGCATTATTGATAGCAGAGCAAATGACGCATTATTGATGCCACAAATGACAAATTTCTCACCCTCACAAAAAACAAATCAAACCCAAAAAAATCAATCCAGCAAGACATCATAGAATCAAAACAGGGCGATAGCTAGGTAAAAGTCATTAATCGTCATACCGAGGATACCATAGATCGCAGGCCTCCCAAGGAGCTGATGACAATGAAGCGATTATAGATTTTGGGAGCTTTGGATCTTTCTAATTGTGGATTTGCATTACATTAAAAAAAATAGGATTGTGTTCTTGAGTTTTTCACAGAGAGGGAAAAATCTTCAGCTGAAGTTGGGTTTCCAAACGGGTCAGATTTCAACCCGGTTCTACATGCACCCTCTTTTAAAAACTCACCGTTGGATGAAATCCAACGGCTCTTACATACCCCTCAAAAAAACCCCTTATAACTTTCCACTCACTATAGAAGCACTCGAGGTTAGTGGTTGCTGGGCTGGGCAAGGGGAAGGGCAGGGGCCTCGAATCTGAGACAGACGGAGAGACAAAGATAACAATCAACCCATCCACAGAAAAGGCAAAGTTAAAAATATGGTCCAAGCCTAAAAGTGTTTTTAAGGAAAAATAAAATATGCTATCTGTTTACAAAATATACAGAAGATTATAGCGCTGCACATGATCAGCTTCACGTCAATAAGATAGCCTCCAAAACCTCATATTCAACAAATCCAAAGGACAATGGTTCAATTACGTTTCGAAAGAAGGCTGTACTTACACAAATTCTTATGCCATAAAATAAATAAAATAAAATAAAAATCACTGAGAACCTAAAGCAAGGTCATGCCAACCATCTGCAGCAACTCGTTGAGTCTCCTGATCTGATCAATGAGAAAAATTGGAAAAGAGAAATCAGTAGGAAGAAAAAAAATTAGCCCCAAGAAAATGCAATAATAGTCCACAGATAATGGCCAAGCTCCAAAAATCCATCCCGTTCCCTAGAGTTTACCCGACTTTTCGCCGGTAAAGTGGGTGATAGACATACAGAATTACATGGACCACAGCAGCAAAAGTAATGATATCAAAGTATAGTAGGATATTCATCGAAATATTTCAGACAAATGAGCAAAGAAATAACTGCCCTAATAGTTAATATGGAAAACTGATGCAATGCCCCCGGAACACCAGTGCCACTTCTTCCTCTGCCCCAAAAACCCCACCATCCCCCTGGCTCTCCCAAAAAAATGGAATATGTATATTGTGATGAGTTAGTAATTTCAGAACTTTGCAATGGGAGTCCTGCAATCAGTTTTTTGGAATTCCATTCAATTTCCTGTTGAGAAAAGTCATGTATCAAGCATGTGAGCAGTAAATTGATCTGTTCAAGTGTCTCTCCTTTCCCACCATCTCTTTCTCTCTCATCACTCTTTTGCTCTTCTCTGAATGTCCAAATTAATCAAATTCTAAAGTGGTTCAGAAAGCAGAAATGGAGGAATTGAATTTCATATGGTTTTTATCTTCAAATCTCCTAGGGTAGAACTAGGCTTGTATTCCTACATGTGGGATTGAAGCTCCATTGCTTGTGCTCCCCATGCTTGAATCTATCCCTATTGCCCAAAGAAGTATTAAAAAGCACATATTCATAGCTGGAGTACCTACACAATCAATTGCTAAAACTGTAAAAAGGTTAACACCATTATGTCATCCTCGAACCCATTCCATGACCCAATGTGAAACCCACTTCTTCACTCTATGGCCCATATCAACCATAGAACCCCCCTTGCTGGTAACAAAGAGTATACTGAAGAGTTAAACATAAAGACCCACAACTAATTTGCGAGAGAGAGAGAGAGAGAAACCCAAAACCAATTTCCGTGAGATCCGTGAGAGAGAGAGACAGCTGGGAAAGAATTCAAGACTAACACAAAGACAAAACAGATTTGGCAGATAATTGAATGGACAATGCAACAGTGTGAAAGTTTAAAGAGGATCAAATCTTTTTTTTTGGGGAAAAAGGGACTCGCGGGGGTCACAAAAGTTTCTTAAAGTATAAACAGACGTACTTGAATCCTCGGTGTCATCAGTCCGTACAACAAGCACTGGTGGAAGGGGAAGTTCTGCAATAAAAAAAGACAATTTTAACAATTGAACGAAAAGAATTAATGAAATAAATACTTTTCCTTCAATGAATGCATGAAAGTGCATATCAAAGGGGAAAGGAAAAACTATACCATCATCAGGAAGAGTGCTTCTCATCCATTCTTCATCCACAATATCTATGAGTATACCTGGGTTTAACTCAGCCATTTGTTTTATACCCAAGGAAAATCTAATCCAGAGTTTTTGTGCAGTTCGAACTAGTATTGGTGTATCTGTAAATGAGAAACATGAACTAACACATTAATAAAAGACATACATTGGGTAGGACAAAAGAAACAGAACCAGTATATTACACTACAGAGAAAAATAACTCTGCCAAAACATGTTCATGATACATGAGCAATCTCCAAGACCGATGATAATATCTCAAACAAACTCAAGCTAATGACATCTAACTAAAAGCAGCAATTTCATATCATGATGAATTACTAACCTTGCAACGTTTTCTTTTTCTTTGTCTTAAAAAAATATGAAATTGGGAATGCCATTGTTTTGGAAATATAAGGACGCAATAAGTGGAGGATACAGAAAAAGAAGCAACATTATACCCACGTGCCCTAGCTCAGGTGGTAAAGTAGCCTAAAATAGAAGTTGTAATATTTCCAAGCACGGAAATGAATTTAAAAAATTAAAATTCAAACACATTCTGCCTTGATTTGAGAACAGCCATCAATCACCAAAAGTAGCATCAGTATTATAAATTTAAGAAATACATCCAATTCCCATTGGCCCAGAATCCAGATTCCAAAGAAGCAAATCTCTATCATTAGATATTTCCTGTGTTTATAATTATATGTGTATTATCCAGCAAAATTAGCCTAAATGCCCCGTTGTCATTGCTTAGTGCTTACACATGTAGGACAGGCACAAAACTTATAGAAAAGACACCACTCCAAACCGCCCATATTTAAGTAGCATGAAACTTACAGAGTTATTTTTCTCTGTAGTTTATTTGTATCATGCTACTTAAATATGTTTTGTGCCTGTAATGCTTGCCCTTTACGTTCAAAATCTGTAAGCTAAAAAAGATTCTACTTCAAAAAGCACACTAATTCTGTTGTGCTTTCATATTGCATGGAGGTGCAATCATCAAATAAATGCTGAATTAAGAATTTCATATATCCCCCTTCCCCTTCTCTTCCCTACCAAAACGCAGGCATTTGTCACTCTCGACAATAGCCGAAGGGAAAGATAAAATTTGTATACTCAAGCATTTGTGTGAATGCATACAGACAGATATGGCCTTTGGATATAAATATTTAATGAATCAATTATTACCATAGCTGCAAGAAATATCTCTGAAACACTAAATCGCCTGTTATGGAACAAATGAGACATTCTGGCTCTGTATGATACCTATGGAAAGATAAAAACTTTACCAGGAAAGACCTAACAGGCAATAAAGCAATACACCCGCATTCTAGCTTATGCTAGATGTCTACGGAAGCTTTAAAGATTTCAAGTCTAGTCGATTCCCGGATGCTTTCCGTCACTCAAAATGACACTAAGTTGTTTATAAAAAATCAATTTTAGCAGAGTTACACAAAATCTCCGCCAAAATCATTAACAGTGTGCTACATGGAAACCATGTCATAGTTTCTGTTGGTGAACTGAAGAAATCAGACAAACTAACCAACTGATTAGAACAGTAACTTTCTCCAATTACCATCTGTATATCACCTCAAACAAGGAATAACATTAGGCACCATGTCATAAGGTTTGAGGGGTATGTGACATGATTGCCTTGATGAAATAGAAGTTAAAAATTATTGACTGGACAACAGCCCAAAAAACAACCAACACGGAAGACTTGCATATACATGGATAGAGTATAGGACAATTAATTTGTCTCTATGGAAAATCCTATCGTTATATGACTGGAAGTCTTAGCATCCTATAATTACTTTTGAAGCAAAACCAAGGCCTAGTATTTGAGAGACCTAATAAATAATCAAATAAAATATAAAACCAAAACCCATTTCATGAAGCAACAGCATTAACGATCCTAAACTTGAAATGCAAAGCAATCTATCTTCAATTAATTGAACCCAACTAGAGTAAAATGTTCAATTAATTTACCAATCCATTTACAGTTAATGGAACCCAGATAGAGTCCTTCAATTAATTTACCATTCATCTCTCATAATGCAGAAATTCACTCCACAGAGAGAGAGAGAGAGAATCAGAGGATACAGAGCCAGTAAACTAATAGAAGTAGTTCATTTTCCAGCTATCTTCATACAGGGACCAAAAACAAAAGCGCCACTCTTGAATTTGTTTCTCAAGATTGGAACCGTGAGAACTAAACCGGTAGTTTCAGCTATCCACAACAACCGAATGCGTCAAAAGAAATATGAAGGAGAGAGGTCCATATATGGCACCCTCACTACATAATTTCGCATCGACATTCAGGGTTATTA